ATGGTTTCATTAATAGAGAATGGCCCAGGAGCTCTTCCTTTCTGCATGAAGGGTAGATTTAGTTAATGCTGACATAAATAACTTCCCGTCTTTATCAGAAATATGCATCATTAACTCATCGAAGAAAGGACTTCCACAACCATCAGCCACCCTCTCAAACATGGGCCCAGACGTTTCTCCTCACCCTTTCTTCCTGGTGATTTTAAACCTCCTAACTAAAGGACCAACATCCCGCTGAAGGAACTTTAGGAACTTACACCCTCTTGCCCAAGAGAAAACTTTCTTCCTAGACCCCAGCTACTTGGCATTATTTACCTTTCCCTCTACAAAATCCTTACACCTTTTGGGTTCTAGAGAGGGACCCACCAGCCTCTCCAGATACCACTACTGGGTCCCACAGATCTCCAGCCTCAGATTATGAATTGACTCGTAAGAGAGTTCATATGCTTCAAAATCCAATACGAATGTTGGTAATCAGACTATCTAATACTTTCTTAGAACTTAGTTTTATTAAGAGATCTTTTTGCGCCAAACGATAGAAATCTGATAGATAACAGATTTGCTATGAAGTAAGACCATGACTTAAGCTGTAGATTCCTATTTTCTCCACTCTCCTCAAATCTATTTTGTGTTTACCAATGTCGTTTATATGTCAATGAAGCTTGGGCAACAGAAACGGATTTTAGTGCCTTGTAAAATATAATGCTTTTACATAAATCTGTTTAAAACTAAAAATGCAGGACTAATTATCAGGACTGTTTTCTAATCTGTGTTCTTTTGCTCATCTGTACTTTGGAGAAACCCAGTCAGTTGATCAAGGTCGAAGCACTGAACTTGGTGATAGGTAAACTGTTGCCTCAGAGGAAATGAATAGTCACTGAAATACCAGCCAACTAAACTCAAACCTGCATTGTCAAATAGTACACTCTTTAATGCAGTAAACCATTTAGAAAGTCACTTGACATAAGGATTCTATCAATATTTGTTGCATTTGTGAAAGTGTAGTCAGACTCTTTGGCTCCAGTGGAATCCTTTATCTACATAAAGTTAGAAGTCAACACAGACACTAAACACTACTTTTGTTGATGTGAAGGTGTGGCCTGGAGTCCTGCTGGCTCCACCTTCCTCTTATCTCATACAGTGGCATCTCCAAGTACCCCTGGGTACTCTAAACCATTCTCTGTTTAGAAACTTCTGGATTGCCACATGGTGGTGGTACGGTAAAGGCCATGGTTTCAGTGGCCATGGGGGTCATGACAACTTCTCCTGTTTCGCGTTTACAAACACAAAGTACCCTGTGATATAAGGTGAATGCATAGTTGATGCTCGATAAGAAGTTATTTTATCACTCTCCTTACCCAAGCATTCCTGCAAGTGTGTACCTGTACTGCAATAAGAGGATGCAAATTCTCTCCAAGCAACAACTGCACACCCTACTCTTGTGTCAACAGTATCATCTTTGTCCACTAAGGACACTTCATTTTACTCAAGCAGAGATAGTAAGTACCTGGCAATGGTGGTATTAACGGGACAGAGACCTGTGCAGTGGAGTCAGGCAGGAAGCCCCCTTCCCCCGCCAGGGCCCTTCCAGCCCTGAGTTTCCAGCCCTGAGTTTAAGTCCATTATAATTGGGTTCAAACCCACCTCACATCAGGAAATGGTTTCCTACACAGGGAGAGAAATATTGGACTGCTTAACCTTTTATAACTCACTCTTTGGTGTAAGAACAGCAGCCTAGATGGACAGGGAGCAAATTCCTGTCTCAGAGCACAGCTCCATCTCCCTGCAATCTGGTGGAATTTTTATAGCTTCCCCTCATCAAAGTTTCCTCATGAACCTTTATTCACTGGGAAGATTAGACTCTGCATTTCTTTCTCCAACTCTTATTTCTTCCACCTGAAACCATAGGAGCCTCAAGTTTAGATCTAGAATTTAAATCTAAATATGAGGTTATGGGCAAAAACGTAGTGGCAAATGTTATCTTGAATATGTAATAAATAAATAAAAATACAAATTCATCTGGAGAAAGAATTCTATAGACAATTTCAAATACATGATTTGAAATGATGTCTTTATAACCCTCTCTCTCATCCTCATGCCTCTGACCCCAACACCAGCACCCCATCAGGCCACCTCATCTCCTACTTTACAGGAGAAATCAAAACCACAGGCAGAAACTGCCTCAATGTCCTGCTACTAAGTCTGCAAATCCACGAGAATCCACACTCTCCTTTTCTCCTTCCCTCTTTTCCAGTGAAAAGGCACCCCTGCTCCATGCCTGATCCTCACTGGCCCCGATTTGGCCCCCTCACCTCCTCCACTGCTGGCTCCATCAGAGATCCACCCCTCCTTCACACACCCACTCCGCCACCACCCTCCCAGCAGCACTTCCATGTGCTCACGTGCCTTCTCAGTAAGTGCAACACTCCAGCCCTTGCCCTACCCCTCTGCCTTCCTTCCAAGTCAAGCCTAGTGGAGCAAGTTGCATCTATAATTGCAAATTCCTGTTCCTCACCTCCCATTTATGTCATACGGAGAGTGTCCTACATGGTCACCAACAGTTCCCTGTTGCTAAATACAATAGACACCTTTGACTTCTTGAAAATATCTGAACTTTTGAAAAAACATTCCTATAAAAAACAACAAACAAACATTCATTCCATCAACAAGTGTTTATTGAGTTCTTACTAGTGCCAGGAATGGGGAGGTGGGGGGCCACGGGGGTACTGTAGCAAGTAAACAGGTGTTGGCAGTCACGGAGTTTACATTAGGACAGGAAAAAGCCAAGCATTAAGCAAGTGAATCAATGAACAGAATAGTTCCAGAGAGTGATAAGTGCTATGAAGACAACAAAACTTAGAGTGATCAAACAAAGCAACTATAGAAATAGCACCGAGTTTTCAAGGGAAGCACCTCTGAGATGATATTTGAGGTACCCGTGCAAAGATCTTGGCCCACAGTATCACATGTGGCATGAACAGCAAGAACAGAGTTCCAAGGTGGGCACAGGCACTGAGAATACATCACAACATACCATCTACATGTACAAAAAGAAAGAACAGAAAGAAGGCAAGAAAGCTTAGTCTCGCTGGGTAGAGAAAGAGCTTCAGAATCAAAAGCAGAGTGGACCAAGCCTGGAAGAACAATGAGCCTTGTCCCCAAGGCCTCTCCTCCCTTCCACTGGTCTCCTAAGTAGAAAAGCGTTGGAGAGGTTGGGGAGGAGTGTGTGGAAAAATTCATTGCCTGCATCTTTTCACTCTTCAATCCCAAAGTTTATTGACTTTGGGAGCCAATAAATAATGCAGCCAAGTTTGGGCCCAAAACAAGCCAGGAAGACTCCTCGAGTAATCCCAGCTGGAATTTGAACAGAGATAGATTCACTCCAATCCCTCTTCTCTCACCATCCCAACTCTAGGCTGAATAGGGAAAGCAACCCAAGAGGGTCTCCTGCAAGGCCACTGCTGAGGATACAGTGGAGCCCTAAGTCAAGGCCAGGTCCCTGAAGGTGTATCAGCGTACAGTCATCTCATGATCAGCTTCAGTAGTCAAGCTCCTCAGGGGGCAGCACCTGACATGGGACTTGGAGAAGCCTCCCCACCCGACCCTGCCACCCAATATTTGTGCCTGGGAGAGAAAATGAGAGCCCAAAGACAACCTCTCAAAGCTAAGTTTCCCGACACACACACACACACTCACCCCAGTCCACAGGAGCACAAGGTATCTAAGGATCATCCACTTGACCCAGGGGCAAACCGTCCCGCAGCATGTGTTTGTGTGTAGGGGATGTGGCAGAGCCAGGTGGAATAAGGATTGGGGTTAGTTCCTTTGGCCCTGACCAAGAGCCCATACTGAAGATCAAAGTCCTCCCCAAGATTTTTGGGCTACAGATAGTGGGAACAAAACAGAGAGAAGAGATGGGAAGTCAACGCCCAACTCTGTCCCATTATAATTGGGTTTAAACCCCCTCACATGAGGAAACGGCCTCCTACATAGGGAGAGGAATCTTAGACTGCTTAACCTACTATAACTCATCATTTCCACACTTCTCTTCTCCCCCAGGGGAAAGCTCCTCTCCTATTTTTCCTTATCTCACTCCACATCAGATGAAAATATGGAGGGACCAGCCAAAGAAAGCACTGGGGGGACCAGGTCACAGGCTTACCCAGGAATTAGGGGGTTACACATGGAATTAGGAACTCTGAGCACCACTTCTGGTCGTGAAGTGTCATAAGGCCATGAGCCTGTGTCCTGAGGTGGAGACGGTTTCGGGGGAAGCAGCCCTGTATCTAGGATCACTTGGGAGAGGGACTTAAGGTAGGGCATTGTGGTTGAAGCCAGATAACATTCCCAAGGTCACACAATTTAAAAGCAGTTAATTCTAGAACTGGGATTGTTCAGACGGGCTCAGCAAGGCTCAAAGGCGGACTTGCTCTCACCCTAGCTGAGCCAGGAAAAGATGTTCAAAAAGTCCCATGTAAGGATGGAGACAGGGGCGTGAGGAGTGGAAACGGGTTGCTTTTCATGTCTTTTCTCTCTGCTTCTGACCCAACTCGCTGGCTACATCTGATACATGGATTTAGACAACTCCTACACTCCCTGGGGATTTCTTTGCATCTCTGGATCATATGGCAGCCTAGTATCTTACTCAGAAAATAACTTCCCCAGAGTCCATTATGGTTCTGACTATGGACTGGCACAGGGAACTAATTAAGGAAACCAGATGGCACAGAGGAAGAGAGAAACCCGGATAGAGACTAATTACAAAGGAGAAAGCTAACAATTAAAAGTCAGGCTGAGCAACAGGATGCAAGGGATGGAAGGAATATCTGGAGGACAACATGTGGACTGGTACTTGAGCCACCCTGACCCTGAGTCATGAAAGACCCTGGAGGCCTGTGCACATCCTGGGGAAGAAAAGACTGTGCACTGAGCTCTGGAGCCTGCAGGTGTGGCTGGAACCCCCTGACTGGAGTATAAGACAGAGAGATACCCCTGCTCACCTCCAGGCAGGCTGCCCTGAGGCCCTCATGCCATGGGGACAACGAGCATCAGCAGTTGCTGCATCAGCAGGTGTTTGCCCTTGCATAATATTTGAAGCCAGATAACTCGTCCAAGGGTAGATGGGTTGTGAAGCAGTGAGTCCAGGAGCCGAGACCATCCATTCACTTTAAACTCCTCCTTGGTCACTTCTTCTTTGGGGTTGGCCTAAGCCTTCTTTTCAATCTGGTTTACAAACAGAAAAAGAAAAATACATGACATTGGTAGGTAATATATACTCTGTCTCTCTCGCTCTGAGCTCAGTTAATGTAATTGTGAATTCTGAGACTAGCTTTGAGGTTATTCTGCAAAATCCCTCTCTTTAATTTCTTAAATCTGGCAATCTCTGGTCAAAAATAATATGATAATATTTTTTCCTGGCCCGAGCCTAGAAAAGACATTCTTTAAAAGTTCTATTTTATGTATAATTATTATAATTATAATATTAATTTTCTGGTTAATCATTGTAGATAATTTTGAAACACAGAAAAACACAAAGGAGGCCGGGTGTGGTGGCTCATGCCTGTAATCCCAGCACTTTGGGAGGCTGAGGCAGGCAGATCACAAGGTCAGGAGTTCAAGACCAGCCTGGCCAACATAGTGAAACCCTGTCTCTACTAAAAATACAAAAAATTAGCTGGGTCTGGTGGTGGGTGCCTGTAATCCCAGCTACTGAGGAGGCTGAGGCAGGAGAATCGCTTAAACCTAAGAGGCAGAGGTTGCAGAGCCGAGATCGTGCCATTGGGTGACAGTGGGAGACTCCGTCTCAAAAAAAAAGGAAAAACACAAAGGAAATTAAAGTACACCTCCTCCTGGAAAAAAAGTTTTACTACTTATAGACATAAAAATGTGAATGTACATACATATACACATAGAGTGTATACACTTATAAAATTGTGAACATATTGACATGTTCCTATTTTGATGGGGGAATAAATCATGTTCAAGAAGGAAATAAACAACATCCAATAAAGACATTATATATATGTGGCCCAGACAAGCATTGCTGGCAAGCTTACCCAACAGAAATGCTGTGTGATATCAGCTTTAATTTATTTAGGCAGCAGAACTCTGTGACTGCCTTTGAAATGAGGCCATGTTGAATAGTTTCAGTGTGTCATCAAAGGTCATAGTTTAAAGAACAAATACACAAAAACCAAAATGCATGGATTAGGAGTGTCACATCATTTTATTCTAGAACCAAACTTATGAGGATCACAGCGTTTTTGTAATTTGGAAAGTTTTTCATATTAGAAATAAAATTCATATTCAGGTATTAGCAATAGGATTTTTTAAATCCCAAATTATGTATCAAGCTAGCAATGCTGATGCCCTTCAAACTGGATTGAGGATACCAGAAAAACTAAATGCAGAAATATGTTATTAAAATTTGTAGAGTGAATTGTAGCCTGGAAGATTGGAACACATCCCTTGAAATTTGAGGAAGGACTCTCTTTACACTTTCTGGATTGCTGTATGACCTCCAGACATGTGGCAGCCTGCGTGTTTTCAAACTACCCACAGATCCTGCTGAATAGAAAACCCAAATGCTGAGACTAGCATGGAAGCCCACAGACCCCAGGCATCACCCTCTGCAAGTATCACTGCAATCGGCCACTGTGGCATCCCAGATAATATGAGCATCGAATTATCTAACTGGCACTTTACTAGCAATGGCAGCCACACTGATGGTATAGGGATGACTAGTTTATATAGTAACAGCCCCTGAACTCTAAATCAACCAGGGGAGGCAACTGAGTTGGAAATAATATGCTAGTAGTTAGGGTTAAATGACACGATGTATCCATTATTAAATAATTATTCCAATAACATTCACTTACCTAGTACTATAATATGATGAATAATGAAGTAGATAATATCTTCATTTTACAGATGGGAAAAATGTGACTTAGAATAAGTAATTCAGACAAAGGAAATCCACAGGCAGCAGAGCTCAGACTCAAACCTTTTCAATTCATGCCTTTTTTTCATTTTAATTTCCAATTGTTGGAATGATGCCAGTGTATATGGATGCATATATATATATAGTTGTGTTCATCCAAGATTGGGGTTCTCCCAGGGGTGTAAGACGGATGTTTGGAAGGCAGGGGACTCTAGGGTATTTGTGAAAGAGATTAAAATCTTGGGCCATGGTTGCACATGGATGCATATATATATGCAACAATATGGTTCAAAAGTATTATGTTAAGTAAAAGAAGCCAGACTCAAAAGGCTATACTATATAACTCCACTTACATGAAATCCTAGACAAGGCAAAACTATAGGAACAGAAGCTAGATCAGTGGTTACTAGGGGCTAGAGAGTTGACTGCAAAGGTGAAATACAAGGAAATTTTGAAGGGCAATGAAAATATTCTATATCTCACTTGTGGCAGTAGTCATACGACTATGTGCATAGAAAGGCATGCCTAAAGAGTTGAATTTTACCATATGTAAATTAGACTTCAGTAAGCCTGATACATGTGGAATATGTGTGTGTGCATATAAACCACACATGCATGCTTCTGAGGCCCATGCTTCCTTTTTTTGTCTGAATGCATGCAATTGAACTATGACTGCCCAAAAGGAAACTGCTTGGTGATAGGATAAACAGAATTCTGCTTAAAGCCAGCTACTGTTGTCCTGCTGTGTGCTTTTCCCCAGTGATACTTAGCTGCCCAAAAACAACTATGGTGAAGGTAGACAGTTGGGTTCATCCAAGGCTGGGGTTCTCCCAGGGGTGTAAAAGTGCAAAACAGATATTCAGAAGGCAGGGGATTCTAGAGTATTTGGGAAAGAGCTTAAAATGTTGGGATATCATTTCTAATTTGCAAAGGGAGGAGAGTGAAGAGTCTGATAGATGGAGATAAAAATGGAGGAGTCAGAGCACTGGAGGAGCATGGTAAAGTTTAAGAACAGTTGCTGTGAGGGCATTTGGCAACAAGTTGGAAGAGAAGCAGAGTGTGGATGTGGAGTTGTGATTCCACTGATGATTTCAGAGGTGGCAATCTGTTTCCTTTATTGGAGAAGGAGCTCCTTAAGAACAAATGATTTATATACAGCTCTGTTGAGCTGAGGTCAGCCAGCCCCAACTACTGCCTAGAAGCCTGGTCTCTAACATTCCAATCTTCTTAAGCTTCTAGCTCACTCATCCTCTGGCATGACCTGCCTCTATCTTAATGCCTATTAATGGGTCTCTCTCTACTTCGTACAACCTAACAGCTTTTCCATATGTGCTATGGAGGAGCCCTATTTTGTCAACTATCTCCATTCCCTCTACTTTGTTTCTAGCCTATTCTCAACCCTGCACCCCTTCCCATCAGAAAGTCAAATTGGCAGACATTTATATGCAGGGGAAAATCAGAAGTTACAATGGTGCTAAGGTTTCCAACTTTGAGGATTAGTTGGACAGCTGTGTTATTTTTTGATACAGCAAACAAAAAAAGAACAAGTCTTTGTAGGAATGAAGTCAGGTGCAGACAGATTAAGTTTTCCAACATCAAACTGATGTGCTGAGTGAATAGGCTCATATATTAATGTCAAGGATGAATTAAGGTTTAGAAGTCATCAGCATGAGAGTCACAATTAAAACCACAAGAGAAGGCAAAATCATATAAGTAGAGAGCTCAGAATGGAACCCTAGGGCACCTCAAGAATAAGCAATTGGCAGAAAAGGAAGCACCCACAAGAAGATGGAGGAGGAAAGTTCCTGCAGAGAAAAGAAAGAAGAGAGTCACAGAAACCAAGAGAACAGAGAGTTTAAAGACTGAGTGAGAGAGCAGCCCAACAAATCCAACAGAAAGCACTGTTGATATATAGACTGGATTCAGCTTTCTTTAGGAAAAGCAACATGAAGGCCACAGGTAACCATCAGAGCAGACACTACGGGTGCCTTGCTCACAACCCCTTGCCCTTTCCGCTCTTGTGCTCAGCCCCACTTCCAGGTGCTAGCACTTGCCCTTCTTTTCCTGAGGGATTATACCTTGCTGCTGCAGCCCACTTTGCTGTCTAACAAGCTAGATGTGTCAAAGAATAAATGCCCCTACCCTCTAGACTGTTTCCACAAAATAGCCCACATCATTCACCCTGAAAAACCCCAAACAGGAAAATAATAATAGGTCACTAGTACACAAAAGTCATGTCCTACATAAAATGCTCTAGTCATTATATTATAGCACAGCTTGAAAGGTTAAAATTATAAAGACTGCCCACATAGCTGAAGAGAGGAAACAGATAATTCAGGGTCATGTAGGGTTTGAGAAGAAAGTTAGTTCATTCCTGTGCCTTCTACATATCCTCATTTCAAGATATGGCTCCACTTTCCTCATGGCCTATTGACTGATGTACTGTATCATCAAAATAGAGAATGGACATGAGCATTCTTTGGATGTAAAGAATCACAGAGGTCCTAAATACTATTAGAATTACCATGGTGGTAATTGTTCAAAATTGCCAGGTACTGATGTCATCTTAATGGTTATGAAATATGGTTACCAAGGCTCTAGGGATTGGTTTACAAGGTGGATTCAATTCCAGTTCACATTTGGGGATAATCACAATCTTGGAGGGAGTTAATATTTTGCAGAACAATCATGTGGTAGTTGTCCTCGTGTGAGCCAAAGACTTATGACACTTTCTTCTCAGTGGTAAGCCTGAAGCCGAGGGGAAGGATTTAAAGACAGATGTATATTCTGATGAATGTGTGGGGGCTGGCGGAGCCAGGACAGTCTGGGGAGTGGCTGGGGTTCATCCCTTTGTGGTGGCACCAACCCACCAGGCTACAAAGCTTTCCCCAAACTGCTCAGCAGCTCCGTGCACACGTGACCATGCTCAGCAGTTGAAAAACCAATGCAGGCAGGTTGTGAGCTTGATCCAGAATTGGGGATTTATAAAACGAGTGCTGAAGGAATGAGAGACAATTGGGTTAAGGCTATCAGAGAGGGAGTAGTTAACCATGTGGTCTGGACCAGGTAAGGACCTGCGACCAGGCAGAGGCTATCACACTGCAAAACAATACACAGCTCCCAGGACCGAAGGCCTCTCTGGCTAACCCAGGCCTCTGCAAAAGCATCTGCTTTGCATACACATTGTGATATAGGGACCACCAAGATGTAAAAAGGCCTGCTCCCAGATAGGACAGACTATACGGCATACTTAGGGCAAGATTCAAGAGTTCAGTCACCCAAACTCATAAAAGCAATAACGCAACCTGAGGCACAGGCAGAACAAGAGCCTGAACAGAAAGCAAAGAACTCAGGCCTTTTCCCTAGCTCTGCTGTGACTTGGAAAATCACAGCCTTCCAGGCTGCTTGTGTGCAGGGCTCAATTTAATAAAACACGCTGTGCAGAAAAAAATGAGTCAAAGGCACACATAGCACTGCCCCATATATGTGACTGATTGACTCCAAATTACCACCCACAGCCACAGCAGTTTTCAAAGAACCACAAATCCCCCAGCTCCCAAAAGCAGAGCACTGAAACGAAAAAAGGCCCAGAATACACCTGTTAAACCCAAAGGCAATGACTACATTGTGAAATCCTAAAATCTTAGAATTGAGAGGACAGAATAAAAAGAGGGAGATGCCTGGGTTTCCTTCTATCAAATATTAAGAATGCTACCATGTTTAATCAGGATGCTGGAAATTGTATAATCGGTTTCTGAGATTTCATCATTCTTTGGTTTTTGAGAAGACCTATCCAAGGGAGTTATAAAGAACCCAATTAGGCCTTTGCCAAAATTATTTAACCTCTAAAAGCAATACCTCAGAAATAGCACCATTTCAGAAAGCAAGTTGGCTTCAGAAAACCTTTTTTACTCTTTCTTCATGTGCAAGTTAGTAGCTCTGCTTAAGAGCAAATTTTTCCCATCAACCTGCCTCTCACTCCTTTGAATCAAAACAGTCAATCAGTATCAATAAAAGGAATAGGCAATATGGTAAAGAAGTGGCTCTAATATGTTACCTGAAAACCTTCAGAAATCTAAGAAGGAAAAATGAATATCTCAAGTAGGACTCAGATGGTGCCTAAGTGAAGTCATGGGACATTATTAATGAAGCCTTTCAGATCCTCTGTTCCCAGGTAAGGGACCATGGCTGAGGAGGTAATAACAGCCTATGAAGGCACCTTCTCTATACCCACTGAGACTAGTCAACTGAAGGAGTCAAAGCACGCCAACACCAGGATATCTCCTAAGTTTAGGTTAGGGCCAGACAAATCTGTGGGTATGGTAAAGTTTGCTTTCATTGTCTTCTAACTCCTTTCCATGTTCTGCTTGAACCCCAGCCACCCAAAGCCACCACAGGTGACATGCCTTTTACACAATTAATTTCCTCTGTTTCAAATATTTTTCTAACTACTTCCACATATCAATACTTACCTGTGCTAGGCCCTTTCTATTCAGGCTCCTATAGAGGGTCTCAATTAACAACTACGGAACCTGGCATACAACTAGCTATTAAAGTTTTAGTGACTTGTTACTTCCTTTACAGATTAAACTCTCCTAATTTTGTGCCTTTTTCATGTTTTCACTTTTGGTACCATAAATTTGTCTCTTTTCACATTTCTTTACTTCATATCACAAATTATCTGAAATATTCATTTGTGGATAATTTAGGTCAGCGTTGCTCACTGTGTAGTCTGTGTACTGTCTATGTAACTGTACCTTGTGGGGGTGAATGCCTGCTAAAAATGCAGATATCTAGGCCTTAGTAGTGACCAAAAAGCCACATTCTCTAGGGGCATTTTTAACATTCTCCCCCATTGACTCTTCTTCCAACTAAATCAGTAAGCATCACATGACATCTACACACAGTAGATGCTATACAAGTGCTGGGTATCAGAGTAGACATAAGAATCTGAAATACAATGAATACCCACTACTAACTTATAAACAGATTCAATTCCAAAGAGTAAAGGGACTAAAAAGTAAAAAAAAAATTGGCCACGCATGTGTGTGTTGGGGCAAGAATATAGGGGAAATCTCTGTACCTTCCCCTTAATTTTTCTGTGAACCTTAAACTGCTCTAAGAAAACTAAAAAAAATAGGCCAAATAGGCCAGGTGCAGTGGCTCATGCCTATAATCCCAGTACTTTTGGAGGCCGAGCGGGGTGGATCACAAGGTCAGGAATTCAAGACCAGAACCCCATCACTACTACAAACACACAAAAAATTTAGTCGGGTGTGGTGGCAGCCCCCTGTAGTCCCAGATATTTGGGAGGTGAAGCATAAGAATGGCTTGAACCTGGGAAGCAGAGGTTGCAGTGAGCCGAGATCGCACCACCGCACTCCGGCCTGAGCGATGGAGCAAGGCACCATCCCCCCCCCCAAAAAAAAAAAAATCTAAAGAAAAAAAACAAACTGGCCTACTAAAATAGCGTAGGTAAATGTGTGTCTCTGGCTCTCCTTTTCTGTCTCCATGGGTCATCCTGCCTTTGCCTAACGCCCCTTGTAAAGCCCCAAACTCCTGTGTCAGAGCCAGTAACTCCCTACTTATGGCTCTCATGGTCCAGGGTGCATGCATATTATGAGGACATTAGGGCACGGATGCCTACACGATGACACCTCTTTTTCTTTTTCTTTTTTTTTTTTTGAGCAGAGTCTTGCTCTGTCGCCAGGCTGGAGTGCAGTGGGGCAATCTCAGCTCACTGCAACCTCCGCCTCCTGGGTTCAAGCGATTCTTCCGCCTCAGCCTCCCGAGTAGCTGGGACCAGAGGCGCCTGACACCGCGCCCGGCTATTTTTTTTTTTTTTTTTTTTTGTATTTTTAGTAGACACAGGGTTCCACCATGTTGGCCAGGATGGTCTCGATCTCTTGACCTCGTGATCCCCCCTCCCCACTCAGCCTCGCAAAGGGTTGGGAATACAGGCGTGAGCCACCGCGCCCAGCCGACACCTGTTCTCATTTGAACAAGGCATCTCCTGAACTCAGTCCTGGGGAATCAATCCCACGCAGCGCGGCCGGTTCGCGCCACAGCCCCTTCCCGCAGCACGGCCTGCGGAACTCTTCCGGTGTGCAGCGAGCCGAGGTCGCACCACTGCCCTCCGGCCTGGGCTGAGCGAGTGCGTGAATGGGCGGCTGGCACCGCCGCTGAGGCTGACGTCAGGGAAAGCGAGTCACCCGACGGCGGCCGGATGGTCACTGGATCATCACCCCCTCCTTTTACACACACGGACACCGGTCGGAGTCCCCATCCCTCCTCGCCCTGAGGCACCGGCACGGAGGAACGCGTTTATTCAACCTGGCACCGCGGTCATTCGTCTCAATGGACACAACTTCCCGTCCCATCAGACAGAGGACGCAACGGCCACAGCCTCCTGGAGCAGGCGCGAGAGCTCCGGGAGGAGCCGGGAGCCACACCAGGTATGGCCACCGGAGGGGACTGGACGCAGGGAGTGACGTCACGGCTTGCTGACAAGGCGGAAGGGGCCGTGGGGACCGCCGGGGGTTAGTAAACGCAGGACGCAGCTACTAACCTTAGGGCGTGGGGAGCAAAAGGGAAGAGATGGTGTTACCAGAACCTAGAAGCTTTGACGGGGGACCCCCCGCGGCTGGCGCCCGGCCCTCGGACGGGGCTGCTGCGCGGCGGTTGCTTGGCCTTCTGAGGGGGACGCTGCTTGGCGGGCGGCGGGCGGACCTCGGGGCGGGGGCGTGGCTGACGCTCTGACCTCGGAGGGGACCGTGGCTTGGCTGGCGCTCTGACCACCGCGGGGGGCGTAGCTGGCTGTTTCTTGGGCCTCTGAGGGGACGTGGCGCGGCGGCTGGGTCTGAGAGGGCCAAAAGAAGCTGGAGGCGGGAGCCAGGGCGCTCCTCGGCTGCTTAAGCGACGCCGACTGGAGCTGGAAACTGGCGGGAAGGCCCTGCTCCCCCACCCAGCTTCCGGTCGCCCTGGAACGCCTTCCGGGTCGGAGCCTGACCCCGCGCCGACCGCGGGAGGAGAGGGGTGCGGAGCGGGGTGCGGAGCGGGGAGGGCGGGCGGCTCACCTGGTCTTCTGGCAGGCGCAGCAGATCCAGTCCTCCTCCTTCTTCTGGTAGAAGCAGCCACTCTTACAGATGCTGTATTTCCGATCCACTATCTCCTTCTTGGAGTTGAGGAAGGTGAACGGCGGGCAGCAGTGGATGCTGAAGTGCTCGGAGTACCTCTGGTTTTTGGAGAGTCTGGGACCCTCCTTGGCCGTTTTCTGACTCATCTCACTGGAAATCGCCGATGCAGGGAGACGGGAGGAGACAGAAACGCGCATCAGGCGAGGGAGCCCGCTACTCAGGAAGCTCCCCCCTGCCGCTCCCGTAGTCCAAGTAGCATTCGGGGACGTCCTACGAGCAAACCCTGCAGGACCAGCTTCCCCGCAACTCCGTGGAAAGGAGCTCAACTGAGACACAGTTCATTTTCATTGGTGTATTTTTAAAAATCGTGTTTTCGGGGAGAAAAAGAAACTTGGGCTCTTGTTTTACTTTATGTGTTAGAGACCCATGTAAGACAGGAAAACGTTTAAAACATATCCTTGACTAAATAATATTCTAGAGCTAGGAAAAGCCTTTTCTCTAAAAAGAAAGAAAAACAGCTTATTATTAAAACAATCATCGTTCATGCAGGAAAACACTACACAACAAGGAAAAAGAACAAACTACTGACATACATCAACACATTTGACATCGCAGACAATGTTGAACGAAAGAAAACAAGCTGTATAGCGGATTTTGTCTGAGATTCAAAAACAGGCAAAACTAAACGATGGTGCTAGAAATCAGAGCATAGTTATATTTGAAGAAGGTGGGCTCTGACTCAGAAGGGGCAACAGGGGAGCTAAGCTGAGGACTGAAAACGTTCCTTCTAGGAATGTGACAAACGCAGAAATAGTCCTGCCTGCCATTACAAAATGCCAAAGCCCACAGGGGACTTAGGTAACAATCAATCAGCAAGAATCAACAAGAGTCTACATAGTTGATGGGCATCAACTGGATACTGACAATGTCTGCTCTCAGCAAACTCAGGATCAGGTTGGAGACCCAGATGTGCAGAATGTAATTACAAACAGTGTTATGATGACCAATGCAGGTGTATGCAAAGGTCAAGGAAAGCATGGAAAAGGGATGGATTCCTTGAACACAGAACCAATAATCTGGGTTTTTCAGGACGAGTACAGAAAACTAAATAACATTGAGAGGATATTCTAATGTTTTCGTCAGTTGGTGTGGTTGTTTTCTGCTATAAATAGAAATGACAGCTGAGAAGCAGGTAGAATACAGTTACAAATACATTTTGGCACTTCTGTTTGTGATCTTCCAAATTATGTGTAACATCTGTCATGTAAGTTAAAAATATTCTTTCCCAATATTTCACCTGCTTTTGTCATGCAAAAATAATTAGTTTTATGTAATTAAGTACCTTAGTTCTTATTAAAGGTTTTATATTTTTCCCAGGAAGTTTTCCCCACTCCATCAGCTTTTAAGATGCTCATGATGCCCCATTTTAAGAAAATCCTCCCTGGATCCTGCTCCCACGTCTTTTTGCTCCCCTTTTACCTTCCTTTTTTACATAGGCCAAGTTCTTGAAAAGTTATTAATACTTTTTTCCTCCGTCTTTACATCTCCTCACTCACTCATCAGTGCACCCCACTCTGGCTCCTGGTCCTTTCCTCCCAAGGGAAAATAGCTCTACATAGCTCTCCATGGACCTCCATGCTGCTAAACCACCTGTCTTCATGTTTGGTCTCCGTCTCAACTCTTTCCTGTGACACCACATTCTCCTAGATCTCCTCCTCTATCTTTAGCCTCTCCTTGTCCATTTCCTATAGGCTCATCTGCTTTTGCCAAACCTTTAATTTTTTTAAATCCTAAACTTTTAATGTTATTTAAGGTGTAATAAAGACTAAATGATTAATGGAGTTAATTTCACCCATTTAATTTAACATTTCTTTTATACTTCAGTTGTGCCTGGCACAAAGCTCGGTTCACATGCTGGACACAAAGCTAAATCATGCTTAGTCCAGTCCCCAAGAAACTTACCCACCAGTGGAGATACAGGCAAGTGATTAGAATGCACATAATATGCTACTGACCAGAAAACTCTCATTTACTGAGACTAAATAACTACAAGTCACTGAGATGAAGAGGGTAGATCAGGTAAGCATCCTGCTCACAACTAGCTCATGTTGTAGGTAGAGGAATGTCCACAGACATCAGTAAGTGTGATACAAAGGCAGCATGCTCTAGAACATAAGAATGTGCTGGTGTAATGGCATGAAAAGTCACAGAAGAGAGGGCAATATGATGGGCTACAGAACAAGGTAAAACTTCATCTAGCCGAAGCATTTCATCTAGCTGAAGATGAGGGCTTGGGAATGGCTGATACCTAAGCAGATACACAGAGTTGAATTGCATTACCCTGAGAGCCCTCATCATGTCAGGGAGAGGTAATAGAGCCAGGACACAGGCAATGAGGCAGGACAAGAGTTACCTTTCACTGTGAAGTGTCTAGCCCGGGCGGCTGGGAACACAGTCGTGCCATCTGCTAATCTGAGGTCTAACTAGATGACAAGGAGGGAGATCATCTCATTGGTCTGAGATTCTGTGAGTTTAAAGAGCCAAGGATATCCATGAATAAATGGGCACCCAAAACTCAGGACCTAAAGCTGTCATCTTGAGAGCCATTCACCTCATGGAAGGGGGCACAACATTGGGCATGGATAAAGATACGAACTCAGTGAGGAGTCAGGCAAGGGAAGGCTCCCAGGACAAGGACTGGACCTGCCTTCAAGCTGCAGGAAGAAGGAATAACGGATTTTCAGAGAGGTAGGATGAGTAGCAGTCTCCTAGGAGAGAAACTGCTGAATTTCCAAAGGAGGAGTTGATCAGATACTCAAAGGAGTGCCTTATCCAGACAGGTATCTATAGACCAATGAGAAGCGGGAGCTGACTTAGAGGGTCAGATTCATTGCAAAGACCCTAAACGTCTACTAAGCCCTTCCCCAAGTCCTACATAGTTCGCTAAGTTCAGCTAGAGTTTCTCCTCCCGTGGGCAATAATGAAATGAAACAAACACTTCAGGACTAACCTTCAAGAGTAATTTGTTCGGGTGCCCAGCACATGGAGACTATGTTACTCAGCTTTTCACAGGCAACCCAGATATTCCCAATTCCTCCAGCCTGCTAGGGTCACCTTTTCCCAAACGGCTCAGGCACCCATCACAAATAACAGAAAATCTAGCTCTTACCCCAACTTTTTAAGAAATAACTAGTATGGGATAAGAAGGAGATTTAAAGTCCACTGTGACTCTGAATTCCTTCCCTAATTCAATTCTCAAATCCCATTCACTGCTCCCGCTGATGTGATGCCTGGGTCACTGTGTGCCCATCTGCACCCCTGCCCAGCCATCTTTTCCCCAGCACTTCGGGGGAAAGTTGTTTCTTACTTCGTGACAACTTCCCTTACTGTCTCCCCTGACCATGTCCGCCAGGGGGCAGCATCACCTCTAGTTATCCATCAATACGTGGGCATGAAAAAAGCAATTCTCTTCCCTGGAAGAACCCCGCCATTCCTAGCACAACCACCTGAAAATGCATCTTCCTTTCAAAATAATATTTTCTCCCTCCTTTAGTAAAATGTTTATATTTTTTAAAAGACTAGGCTCCTAACTCTTTACCCCGGTGGCAGAAATACAGCACTTAGTTGGGGGTACCTGGTTAAGTGGTTCTATAGACTGCCTCCCCAACTGTTGGTCCCATGCCACCCTCCAATTTCAAACCACTAAGCCCCACATGCTAAACAAGAGGCATCGTTTCCTAACACACCAGCATTGCTAGTACATTCCTTGGAAATACATGCTGTTAAATTAACTTTAGCACTGTAACTAATGTAAATAACTTCCTTAATAAATTCCATTTTCCTTTTGCTGATGAGAATTCATTCAAATGACCTGTCTAATTCTACTGAATTTTTTAGACACACTCTATTTATGTCTGATGATACTTAAGCATTAATCACATCTTCATTTACTTTAGTGGCTAAAAACAAATTCTAAACATCGCGTGACATTTTCACAAAACATACCACCTAATTGCAAGCAAAGATAATTATGAGCTTTCTGGCAGGATGGAGAGAAAAATAACCAAATTTGAAATTGTAAAATAATCTCCAGGCTTTCCAGATGTTTCCATATACTTTATATCTAACATTTCTGATTCCCCAAAACAACCCTCCAGGTTGTTCCTACTATCGCCATTTTACAGATGAGAAAATCCCCAACACCATACCATAATCATTTTAAAATAGCAAACTCCTAATGGTTAATATGACTAGCAGACGGCCTAACATCCACTCTCCCTTATTCAGTAACAAACCTTGATTTTGTTTGGCCATGCTGTGTGCCTGGTTTAATCTACACAACTCCCCCATTTGACCACATTCTAGTCAATAAAAGGTAGGCAAAAAGTCTATGGGAAGATTATCTTTCTTTAAGAATAAGGCTTTTAATTCAAGAAGGAACCCTCCTCTGGTAAGTGCATTCAGCCCAACCCGATCATTCCTAGCCCCTAAGAGACAAGATTATCTCAAGCCTTTGGAACTTGTCCATAGGGCGCCTTCCCCTGTCTTTTACCACTAAACAATTGCACAGCAAATACCTCTTTTGCCTTAAGGTTCAGCTCAAACTCCAGATCTTTTCCTTCCCCCAAAGAGTAATGATCATGCCTCCTTCCTTTGTGTCCTGTGAACAATTCTAGGAAAGCATCTAGAAACTTCAGTGCTACTGTTACTATTTCACTGTCTCCTTAAATTTGTTGTCCATAAGCCTTGCTCAGTGCCTGATTCAAAACAGGTGTTCAGAGGATGTTTGATTCAAAACAAGGGAATGAACGAAGGGTGTCCTTCACGACAGCGGCGGAGCCCTTAGCCATGTACCCCCTGTCCCCAGGTGCTCTCTAGCAGCCCTGTGTTTCATCAGGGACTCTGCTCAGGTTCAGGCAAAAATATCTGCTCAACAGAGGAAAGGACCTAACCTTTAAAGTTCTAAAACTGGGTTCTTTAGGGGGAAAAAACACACTATACCTTTTTGTAATTTGTGCAAACTAATTAGCAAGCTTTAATCACTACATACACATCTCACTACACGTCCTAGAGATGGCATTAAGATCTATGTAGCCACCAGTGACATGCTATATTTAAACACAGCCTCGCCATTCCCTAAAGAGGCTGGA